CTCCTAGGGAGAGCCCCTCTCCTGCTCTGAGAGATTCACAGACAGGCAAAGGGAGTGAGATGATCTAACAGAGATGACCAGGATCGCGCAGCAGATGTGGCAGAGCTGGGAATCCTGCTGTCCTGGGTCCTACTCCAGTCTCCCGACTTCTTTGCACCTTACCTCTCTGAAGAGGCCATTCTTTCTCTCTGTTTAGCCATCAGTTGTTCTCCTGTTGATAAATTCAAAATGGGCTCCATTTTCAATCTCTCTCTCTCTTTCCTTCCTTCACCACTTTGGGAGCATTATCCAGCCTAAAAGTTCATTAGTTTGTTTTTACATTGTTTCTGCATTGGACAATACTACCCCATTGGGCACACCCATGCCATGCAATTGGAGGCTCAAAAGACTTTTGGTTCAGAGTTTCAGAAGCGACCTTTGATATTAGAGTGATGTAGCCATACTGGTCCAGGAATTATACAAGAGGCAAGGATTTGTGGCGGGGTGACATTGTGTGTGTTCTTCTTGCACACTCAAATCTAACTTATTCATTGTGCTCATGAAATTCAGGGTTGACTGAAAATCTGCTTTATTGTTGCATTACCAAAATACCACACATCTCTTACTCTCAATTTGTATGTGAATGGCTTATAATCAATTGCAAAATAATAATATGGAAAGGCAGTGAGGAACCAGGTAGAAAAATAAGAGGAAAGATTTAAGTGATCTCTGCAAAATGTTACAATGAAATGAGGATAGGGGAGGGGGAAAATAGTAGCATGTTGTCAGTTTAATACATGATAATTCCTTAAATGCACTATTGATGTTTTGGACTCTGTATTGGTTGTTATAGTTTTAGAGATCAGTAAATCAATGGCTAGCTGGTTAATGTGAATATACCTAATTTATAGGATGCTTTGTTATCTGAAGTCTGCTTTCTCCCTTCTGTAAGACAGGCTGGGGAATTTCAAGATGAGAAACTTTTCTGATGGCAAAAATTTACTTAGGGAAAGTTTAATATGTTGCTTACTATGTGAATAAGAGAAAATACTTCTGTTTGTTTATAGCATTATAAACATCTTCCCCTACTACAGATCTAGTAGCAGTAAAACATATTCTTTCTTGCAAGCAGCCAAGAGACAGCACACTGATTTAGTAATAAACTCTGGTGTTGTCCTGCCTTAGCATTTCCAACTGCACAGGAAAGTAAAACATAGCGTAACAATAAATGCATCATAAATATAGTGTTGTGCCAATACATCTAAAAGTACATAATGATTAAGTGATTATGCAAGCCGATCCGCTGTCCCTGACTAACGAAATGAGACTGCCTGGCCAGTGCACTTCATTGATTCATTCATTCTTCCATTGATTCATTCATTCATTTGAATCCAGGACCTCTCTCAATCTCTGAAACACCTCCTGCTGACAGCATTGCTGCATATTCCTATTGGGCCTTTGCCACTGTCATGCTTCATTTTGGAGATGTAATGAGGCATTAATGCTTATCTTTGATGTGTGAACTGTGTCAAAATATCCTGTTCTGATGAATGCTGGATCCCTCGGAATTCACCACAAAATTTGAACAAAATGGCCATTGTTTGGGATATTGACATAGTCCCATTGGCAGAGCTTTTCACCAGGCAAGCAGGAAACGAGGGTGGATCATGCTTGCTGCATCTCAAGCCCTTTAATTGCTTAACCAGTTCCTTCTCTTGTCTCACGCTTGCATTCTCAGACTCCCGCCCAACTTATATCCTTCCTTTTGTTGTCTAACTCCTCCGATTACCCCACCGCGCAGTGCCACCGCATTGCTCTGATGAGGTACAAGGCAGTCTCTCATTTTCAGCTTGTCAAAGATGCCAGCCGAAGACCTACAGACTGCTAGTTGCTGTTTGTATGCATGATTTAGGGAAGAAGGAACCAGTTCATCCAATAAGTCATTTCTAGGTTCCATGCTCTAATTATTTTTGAGAATCTTGCACTCTAAGATTTCATGTTGGCCATTTGCTCTCCCTTAAAATCATCTGAGTTTTAGATCTGAGTTTACACTCCTGACTCTCTCTTCATGCTACTCTAGCAAGGCAAAGGGTTTCTAAAGGAATATAGATAGAAGTAATATGTTTCCATATTAATGCTTTTTCATTTTGCTAGAGCAGGAAGATATTTAAGTGACTTGAGCTTAAATGGCAAATAATGCAAGAAGGTATTATAAAACACATTTCAAAGTCTTGAACTGAATAGCTTGTTTTGCCATCCAATAACTATAGTTTTTGTCAAGGAAGTAGAACAGTTTCCGTTCTACTCCCCTGTTTTCCTATGCATCTGACTGCCAAAATCTTCACTGTTTGGGCTGAAATGTCATATGTTTGTATGAGTATTTTTATACAGTTTGAACAGGTTCTCTTTGCTCTATCTTGGAGCGAGAGAGGAAGTTAAAAATGAAACCAATGAAAACTTTCCCTTGTCAAATTCTAATGACATGGGAAGAAAGGGGATTGAAAAATACCTTGAGCATTTAACATGATGAGTGTGCAGAACAAAGTCTTGATCACATGCTGGCGTGCTTCTCCCAGAGTTTTTATCTGCGTTGGCTACGTAGATGACAAACACTTCTGGGCTTGTCTTCCAACTGGTGTGTAAAGCACATCAGAGGCATAACTGGGCAGTTCTGTGCCCTGGGCAGTGGCAGTGGTGGTACAGGGGGCTGCAGCTGCTGTCAAGCTGCTAGCAGTGACCTGGCCAGTGGCATGAAGGCAGCTATTTTTGCACCCCTCTCCTTCAAATCACCATCAGGGCTGGTATCCCAGTCGCCCCCCCTTTACTTACGCTACTGAAGCATGTATGAGACCTTTGACTATTCTATAAATACTAAGTGGTAGGAACTAGATAGGCCTTATTCAAAACTGGCAGACAGTTCAGCCCTAGGGAAGAAAGACATGTCCCTGACCCATAATAGTGGAGGAAATGTGCATAAGTAGCTCTTGAGCATGGGTGCTAGGGGTACAGCCTCTGAATCAGAACTTCCTAGACCTTCACTGCTGGCAACTGCAAGTGAGAGAGGAGCAAGTGGAAGAAACCCTGGACATAGCCAGTTCACTCTCCCTTTCAGCAACCACTCTCTAACCCTGTGACAGCATACTGGGCAAGGATGGACATATGGTCTGACCCAGTAAATGGCAGTTCTTATGTTCTTATAATCCCGTTCCTTCCACTGTATTTCTAAAGAGCAACCTTTTGAAGAGTGAGAGCTTTTGCCCTTCTGGTCTAGCCTTTAATACAAAACATGAAAAAGCAACAAAGCAGATCAAATAAAAACTAGGGACTTTTAGCAAGGCATTATAAATAGAACCCTATTTTATTCTAGGCAGAAGAGATGTAGTTTAGTAGCTGAGATTCACACTTAGTTTTTTTTATTGCTAGTTATTTTACCTCTCCAACTGTGGCCAAAAAAAAGGTCTGGCAAATGTACTCTCCATATTTTGATGTAGTGGAAAAGTGAATATCCACTAATAGCAGCCCTTGCCTGGAAACAGAAGGATCAGAAAAAGCAACTCACTTGTTGAGTTTCTAATTTGAGGGTTAAGGAGCTGGCAACCCAGCTACCATTCCAGTGGCCAAATTCAGACAGGGCAACCCCTCACCCCTCACCACAACCACCACCATTCATTTGACTAGAGGCCTTTTCCAGCAGACCTAGGAAATAAAAATATTGTTTGCTGGCTTTCACTTGCACTGCGCAACCTGACACACTGGCTGCGCTTTCAGGATCTAACAGATATTCTGTCAGTGTTCCAGCTGCAAACGCAAGGGATCCTGGCGCACACACAATGTGCACAGTAGTTTTTCATTTAAAGGAATGGCCATCTGATTTGCCCAGAGGAAAATAAAAACAAGAGCAGCTAGTATTTAAAGTGAGGGTAGCCAAAGTGCAGCCCACCAGCCAAATTAGTCTCATATGCTCCCATAACACAGCACATGTTATCCTCCACCTTCAAAATGGAGGTGAGATGAGAGGGGACAGAGCCTCACTTGGAGTAAGTTGTCATCACTCCAATGGTTAATCAGCTGGGGCTGTGACAATTTACACTGTCTGAGGATTTACCTAGGTATAATAGGCTCTGTGTTGCTGTAAAAATGTCTCATGCCCTACACAATTTACTACTCAGTAGGGGAAAGCTTAATACTGAGATGGCCAAAAAATATAACCCCAAACTGAAACAGGGCATTGTAGCCACACCATTTTTCTAACACTAATATCTCCTAGACCAGTAGTTCTCAACCTTTCTTGTACCAGGACCCATTGTAAGCATCAGTAGCCAGTCCCAACCTAATGCCCCACAGGGGGTGGGTGTGTGGGGCAGGGAGGCCCCCTTGCAGGCTGAAATTTGGCCAGCCTGCTAGGGAAAAGCTGTGGTTTCCCACATTTTTCTTCTTTAAAGGAGAATCCATTTTTAAAGTTTGTTCATGACCCTTTCATATATTCTTGCGACCCATGGGTTGAGAAGTACTGTCCTAGACCTAGTGCACAGTAAGTGACTGCATAGAAAATATGTTACAGCACCTCTTCTGTAGATCACAGATCAGCTGAAGTGAATACTTCTGCATGTTAGGTAGGGGAATTAGACTACCATGATTTCTTTTTTGTTTTATACACGACCATCTTGACATGGCAGCTAATTTTGATAGCTGAGATTTTCCAGAGTGTCTCATAATGCTGAGTACCTCCATTTTGGAGGGTCCTCCTTGAAGATGCATTTTTTTCCAGAAGCGATGTGCCCAAGACCTTCTGAAAATAGGGGTCCCTCCCTTAGTGTCTCACATTGGGCACTAAAATCCCCTAGTCATATCTAAAAACCTTGACTGACATGTCCATGAGGTTCCATCCAGTTTGATCTGAAGTCAACCAGTGAGCCCTATTGACTTCAGTGGAAGGTGGATCAGACCCCATATTAGCAAAGGCTAGTACTGTACTGTACTGAATGTGCTGTTCTTATTATTCTCCTCCTTTTTTATGTTAGAGTGAAATGGATGAGAATGCAGTACAGATGGCTGGAGATGATGTGGGCTTGCCAGAAGACCTTCAGAAAATGGTGGCAGAAGATCAAGAAGAAGAAGAAGACAAGGAGTCTTTTCTTGGCCAGTTAC